AGAATTAGTCGGCATGTAGATGCAATGTAACTTCATTCAGGAAATGTACCATCAAAATAAAGTGACCTTTGTATGATTAAAGAATTATGTGTACCAATGATCCTGCAAATGCAAGGCTTCTCTAAAGAAATGAACGCAACATGTTTTGAACACTGGGGAGTCTGCGTTAAAAGTAGTGACTGTTTAGAGTTTTTGAAAATTGATATCAGGTTTCTGAAATTTGTGAAAAAACGATTGTAAAAAAAACAAAAAAAAACAACAACTGTAATTCACAACTTACCCAGTTTAATTTTAATATATTCGTTTATAACACATATATAAAATGGAGAGTCTCTACAACAACAAAAAACAATTAAGCCATGCACAGCCAGAAAGAGGCAAAAGTTGGTTTAGCCGAGCGTCTCAGCTGAATGCACCTCAAAAGGCCTTCTGATTGTTTTTCAGCCGTCTCTGCATCCTCCGTCCCACCCCTCGGCCAGCCGCTCTCTCCAGCTGACCCGGGCCATGCGGATGAAAGCCCCATCAGCACTGAGGCCGGCCACATTTACAAGTGAAAGCCAGCCAATAATGGGGTGGTTAGGGAGAAAATGAGCAGACAGAGGGGCGCTCACAGATGTTGAGGAGGGTGTTGGGGCTTTATTGTAGCCAGGCCAGAGGGGACCGGCGGAGGGGGGGGTGATGTTGTGCCTTTTTAGACCTGATTTGGGACAGAATTGTCCGAATGAAGGGGCCGGTGGTCAGGCGAGGGTGGCCAGCTCGGAGAGCGTGTGAACGGGAGCACGGAGGTCAAGCCAAGAGCAGAGGTTTGGAGGAAGGAGGGGGTCAGTCTGCTATTATCTGCTTGCTTTTTGTAACAGTCCCAATTGGAAATCCTTCCTTTGCCGCCACCCAAGGTGAAGGTCTCGCCGCTCCACTTCCTTCAGTATACTGGGATGGGGCAGATGAAGTCATCAAAGTGGGTATTAGTGCTTTGTGTGCAGGTGAAATGGTAGAGAAAGCTTTAAGAGCTTATCCACGGAAATTCAACATGGTCTCAAAGGGCTTAATGTCCGGCTCAGAGTCACTGTGTTCTTCTTCAGCGGACCACCAAACACCTGCTGACAACTCCTGCTGGGAGACGTTTAATATCCTTTGGGAAGTGGAGGAAGAAGAGCTGTCGGAAGGAGGAGTCTAAGGGCTTTGTGTCAATCTGTGTATGACCAGTGGTGGACTGTAACTTACAATTTTCACTACTTAGAAGGGATTGTTCGCCTAAAAATAAACATTGTTTATTAATTACTTTCTTATGTCACATTTAGGATGAAATCCGAGAGCTCTCATCCACCACTGGCGTCAAGGATCCAGAGATGTTTAAAGCCTAGAAAACGACTGTCAAAACATTTCATGTGGCTTCAGTGGTTCAACTGTATTAATTCGAAGCTCCAAGAACTATTAACCCTGTTATAACCCTGTAAAATTACTTCGTTCTCCTTGTACTCGTTTCCTACTAGGTTGTCAGGGTGCATATTTAGTAGGGGCAGTAAGATGTATTACCATTAGAGTCAGCAGTGTATCGTAATGGCCAAAGTAGTGTGTATCCTCATTCGAGGCTGCAGACACTGATGAGCATACAGTGTTTTTTGGAGCTTTGGATGATTTGAACCACTGAAGTCATCTATAGAGGGTTCCTTTTCTGAACTTTGACCCTTTCTGGATAATTAGAGAACTCTTTATATATCATCTAAATTATCTTAACTTGTACTCAGAAGATGGATGTGACTGCAAACACATGAGTGCGTAATTAATTACAGAACTTTCATTTGAGTGAACTAACCCTTTCAGTACATTTTTAAGCTGTTCTTCACTGGAGTATCTTTATTTTAGGAAACTTCAGTATATTCCCAAACAAAAACCTTAACTTTATTACTTACATTTTCTAAATATACGAGTATGATACATTTTAAACTGAAGAAATAGTGTCCAATTAGGTCACAAATCTCACTGACCAATCATTCATTCAATGATTTGATACGATTTCATCCGTTTACAATTCAGCTCAGCAATAATCTGCTAAGAGCGAGTTTTATGACCCAAACTGAGTTACAAAGTACAAAAGCTACTAGGGATGTAACGGTATCACAATTTCACGGTACGATAATACCTCGGTATGAAAGGCACGGTACGGTATTTATTGAATAATTTACAGGAAAAACAAAACTAATAAAAAGACTAGAAAAAAGTGCCAAAAGTGTTTATTTACCTTAGCACTGAACATATAAATGACATACAAATTAGCCATCTATCTGTAAGTTTCGAAACAGGAACTTCAATTTTTCAATTTAAATAACAAAAAACAATAAAACCATAAAAAAAAAATAAAGTTTTAATTTAGTATTAAAATAATTAAATTAGTAATAAAATTAGTATAGTAAAAAAGTATTGTTGAAAACTCATCACATTCAACATTTAATCACTCACTCACTTGGATAGAGATGGGTTTTTTAAGGAAAATGATCATATAACTATAATCTGGTAAAAGCTGGGATCTCTGGGCATGTCCCCTGCAACAGAAAGAAAAAAAACCCTCTCATTTGGGACTGAGGTTTCTGGGACAGAGAGATATGATTTAGCCAAGGTTGACAGCAGTGGGTAACGTTGTGCATTGTCTTTTCACAACTTGAGAGGACAAACTATGAGTGAGATAGAGATCTCTTTACGGTACAAGTCAATGTCTGCATCAATCTAACAAGTGTGCTGTGTTCTGCAGTCCCCATGACTGTTTTAAGTCGTATTCCCTGACTTATATTACACCAGTCTGGCAGTGCCTGCATGCTGTTTTTTTCCTTGTCTGTCAACTTTTCTCCTTTTTCGTATCTTTTTAGAAAGAAACTGAAATGCTTCCAAACATCCGATTTAAAACCTGCTTTAGGTTCGATCATTTCCAGCTCTTTTTCATCCCTGCTACTAGCAGCACACTCCATTTCCGCATTACTGGATCTGTAGTGGCAACAGACCGCAAAGGATGATGCCCACGCCTGGGCTGATGGGAATTGTAGTTTCCGATAATCCTAATCGATAGTGAATGTGTGTGTGTATTTTACATCCACTTATCTCTCTGTTATTTCTAACTATCTGACAACATCTTGACATTATAATGATAAATAAGACAGTGTGTGGCAGCATTCAGCTATTAGTCAAGAACATTTGTTTCTTTCTGCAAGTTTTACATTTAATAATAAAAAATAAAGTACAATATCACAGCTTAGATTAATGTTTTGTGTCTAATTCTGTAGCATGATGCAAAGAAAATCCTACTTAGACGGTCAGAATTTCAACTTTATCCCAGTATTCTGACTTTTAAAGTGATTGTTTTATTTTAATAAGTCTTAATTTCAACTTCTTGTCTGTTTTTCTGGGTTAACAGGCTTCCATAGTGAAAGGCTTCAATGACTTCATCCCCTCAGGATGTGTTTTCTTAGATTTTTTGGTAAAGTGTGTAACATACTCGATAAAGCCAGCAAACAGACAGTAAAACAACACCTAGTTAGGGAACGCATTCTTGATAAAATCAAGTAAAAATAAAAATTGTGGATTTAAAAAAACAAAACAAATACAAAAGTTTAAAAAAAATTTAATTTAATGTTATTGCCAGGCACATTTTGCATTACTGTACATGTGCTGAATAAAAAAAAAGGTAAAAACAAAGCACCTACATGGCAAATTCTTAATTAAAGTGGATGAATGGATAATCGCTGAATTAGAAAAGTGCAAAAAATATATATATTTACATTGCAGGCTATACTAAAGGATGTGTAGAGTAACTGTACAATGTAAACAACAATTAATGATACCTCAAGCTGATGATTCACAAACTGGGTAGAGCGGTGGGTCCACCAGACTAAAGTGGCGAACCGCTAGGCAAACTAGGTTGCCCAAACTCAGTCCTGCAGGGTTGGTGTCCTGCAAACTTTAGTTCCAATCAGGCTAGCTCAGGAATGGGCAAACTTGATCCTCGAGGGCCGGTGTCCCTGCAGAGTTTTGTTCCAACACTAGTCAAACACACCTGAACAAGCTAATTAGTGTCTTCAAGATCACTAGAAATCTATAAGCAGGTGTGTATGATTAGAGTAGGAGCTAAACTGTGCAGGACACCGGCCCTCCAGGACCGAGTTTGCCCACCCCTGGGCTAGCTAATCAAGCTCTTAGGCTTTCTAGAAACATCCGTGCAGGTGTGTTTAGGCAAGTTGAAGCTAAAATCTGCAGGACACCGGCTCTGAGTTTGGGATAAAAGAAAATGTTTACTCCGTAGGTCTCAAACTCAATTCATAGAGAGCTGGAGCTCTGCAGTTTTGCTCCGACCCTATCAGACACAGCTGATCCAAATAATTGAGGTGTTCAGAACAGTCATGGACACCTTCAGTAGTTGGATTAGCTGTGTTTGATTAGGGTTGAAGCAAAACTGTGCAGAGCTGCGGCCCTCCAGGAGTTTGAAACCTATGGTTTCCTCCTAAATGAATATTATTTCATTTCGAACTCACCCTCAGGCCATTCCAACCCTGTAAGAGTTTCTGTTCAATACAAAAGAACATATTTTAAAGAATGTTCGGGTTGCCAGAGACTTAGAATTGTAGTGTGTGGTAAAAAAAAAAATCATTTTATAATTTGGAAAGAGGTGAGGGTGGGAAGATGATAAAAATTTTATTTTTGGGATGAACTGACCCTTCAAATTTTTTAGGTTTATTATCAATCTATTAGACTGACTTGAAATCATGAAACCCACTTGAGGAATTTCTCAAAATGCCCATGGTATATTCCAAAATTAATTCATACAGGTTTGAAATGACTTCAGGGTGAGTAGACGATGAAATATATACATTTTTGGGTGAACAATCCCTTGTAGTGGAAAAAATTCAATGTAAAAAAATATCCGTATTTGTGTGTGTTTCCGTATTTTGTGATTCATGAGTGTTTTTTGTTTATTTATGGTTGTGAATTGCATTATGGGATGTTGATCTGAGCTCTGTCAACTTTTGATGTTGAAAATGCAACTCTACATTGACTAGCACTAAAGATTAATTGAAATTTTGGTAGTTGGAGATAATATAATGTATAAGAAATAATCTATAGAGAAATAAGTCTGTAAAACAACAGATGTTGTACTGGAAGTTCATGGCAAGGGTTTTGTACCATAAAATACAACACCAACCCAGACAATACATCACATTAAACTACTTAAAATAAAAATCACTTTATCAAACTTTTAAGGTTAAAAGCTGTCAGAAGGAAGATCAAAGTCCTATAATGCAATTTAAAAGCATAAATAAACGAGGAAAAATAAAAACATTAACCAGAAAACTGCTAATTTACGGATATTTTTTTGCAGTGAACTAATATGTATTGATTTAATATTCCCTGGTTTAACAAGCAAACCCGTTTAAATACTAAAAGAAAGTATTTATACATCATTTACATATTTAATATGATCTTTTTAAATATGGAGAAAACAACATTATAGGACAAAAATGGTTTCAAGTAGGCACTGCTGCCACCTTGTGGTCGGCACCAAACACAGCACTCAGTTTCACTAACGAATATCCCATGCCATGATTAAATAAATAATCAGTAAAATTGTAGTTAAACACACTGACACTTACTCATTCATTTCCATTAGCTAATGGCTTATTGCTCGATTTGAACAAGCCAGAGCAGGATGTATTATTGATTCTTCATCAGAACTCATTAGCACACAAATAATAGCATCATGTCTCCTCATATCTAACGCTGACTCAGCTTTGCTCTATCGTTGTCCCACCTCGTGTTCAGATCCTAGAGAGGTTTTCCTGTAGGCCTCATAGGAACAGGTTTACTTTAGCTGGTACTAACTTGCAGCCAGTGCTGGAAAAGTACTTGCTGTCATTTGGTGTGTAGTTCATAGCGCCTCCTACTGCTGATGCCACGTCTTTACGCTGGCACTCGCCCCGCTGGCAGAGCTCCCGCTGGGCACAGCGCTCCACGTGGCGCCGTAGCAGCGGAAGGAAAGGCACAAAGCGAGTGATAAGCTTTTCTGTGATTATTCTGGAGTGGTAGAACCCACCTAGGAAACAAAGTTCATCCACAGATTAGATTGCCTTCACTGAGGGACAACACGCAGCAAGTGATTAGATGACCACTTTAACAGTATGGCTGCGCACAACACTGGAAAAACTGACAATGCAATTTTTGTGTGATATGCTTTCTAATAATGTATAAAACAGAGTGTTCTTGGAATAAATAAATCATTCCATACTAATGTGAGCAGCTGGGGTGACCGTTTGGAGTTGACTTCACAAGAAAATATTCTTTTCAGTACTATTTTGCTTATAAATTTGAATACGTTCAATTCAACAGGACTATTAAAACAAGAACAATTATTCAATTACTATTGTTATTATAAATAAAAAAATAAATATTGCGAAAACATTATTGCACTACAGAGAATAAAAATTAATGTACTTTATAGCAAAATGATAATACAGTTTTTTAAATACAAAAGGGTTGATCACAAATTTGAATTCGATCATCATTTACTCCAACTGTTCATAAACTTCTAGAGGCTTTTGAACATGAAAAAGGGCATTTTGAAGAATGATGGAAACCGAAAGCCATTGACTTTGACCTCTAATGTGATTATCAATAGCTACTGGTACATTCTTCAAAATATCTTGTTTTGTGTTCAACAAAGCAAGTGAAGAGTAAGAGAGTAAATAATCCTAAAAATGTGGGTCGTGGCTTGATGACCATGTAAAAATGTGGATCCCATGGCCAAACCAGTTGAGAACCACTGTTTTAATGCATTGCAAATGGCGAAGGCACATCGTAAGTCACTTCAGGAGGAGGTGTGAATTAATTTAGCTAAACATGGTCATCTTCCGGAAATAATACTAACGATCCATCAGGTAATGTTTTTCCCTCGCTCTCTTTCTGTTTAAAATTGTAGGTAATGCGATGTCAACAAAATTTTTCCTCCACACCCCATAAGATGGGACAGCGCATCGGACATGAATAACGGTGTTGCCTAGGTTACTGCAGTAAACAAAACAGTATGTTGTAAAATCCAGCATGATTTTATATATTTATATCCCAATACTCACAGACTAAATTGAGGCAAACTTTAGCATACAACTGTACGTTGTATAATCAAAATGATACAAAATGCAATACCTAAACAGCATTTAAGACTTTTAATACCTTTTAGAGCAGTGGTTCTCAAACTGTGGTACGCAGGCTTCCTTCTAGTGGTACGCGGAGGAATTAAATATGTCATATACATGCTACATATATTTCAAAATGTATAAAAATTATTTATATAATATGCCATATATGACATATAGACTATATTTCTGAGGTAATCTGCCACGTTTTTTTTTTAACTGTGCAGAGTTGTAGCTGCTTTACTGGGCCTACTAAGCTACTGTATTTCAATACTGCTCATTTTGGTGGCACTTGGAGAGACAATTTTTTTCTGAGGTGGTACTTGATGAAAAAAGTTTGAGAACCACTGTTTTAGAGGCCTTAAAGGGCCATGACACCCCCCACTTCCGGTTTAAGTCTACTTCAGAATTTTTTCAAAAGATGCATGATTAATGGGCGTGGAGCTCCGCGAGCACAGGGCAGGAGTGGCCGTAGCCAGCAGGGAGGAACGTGAGCGAACAACTGTTGTTGTCAGTTAGCTCACAAAATGAGACAAACCGTGAGGAGACGCATGAGTTTAGTTCACAAAGTTAAAATGCAAAGAAATGAACAGTGATTTAATGCCCTGCTACATTTGTTATTCGTAATTTCATATACAGATAACCACAATTTATATCATTATAAAGATAAGTGTGTTCATGTAAACACTATAAATGAGGACTTCTCCTTCAATCCCAGTATCCAGCAGACTCAGTGCAGCAGGTCTCCTGACCTGTCTATTTTAACCATTAGCCCTGCTGGTAATCTGGAGGATTTAGGCAAACACAGCAGCATGGCGATGTGTCTGAATGTGAACGAACTCCTGATAAAAGACAGCGTCCGCATTCTCTAATTTTCGTGCTGCTCTCCCGACAAAAAATGCTAGCAGCACACACACAGCTTTGCTGTATGATCGGCCCTGACAAGATCGCGGGGGAAAACATGCAACAAACCCCGTGGATCATGGAAACAAACGCATATGAGCCTTCATGAACGGCTAAATACTGTGCCGTGGTTTCCGTGTCTCTCAGCTCGGGCTTGACACTGGCAGGTCTCATGAATAATTAAGCAGCCGGCTCTTCTCATAGGATAAGAAAACTCCGCTGTGAATAATAATGAGAAACCGACGCGTCATCATTGCACTTGCAGCACTGCGCTACGTCACCAATTTTGATCCCGCCCCAAAAATCATTTTAAACCCGGAAGCTGAAATTAGCGGACACAGTTTTCCCCACAATTAAAGCTGACAGGTGCTAACATTGTCTTAACTGATGCTCAACACACACAAATCTGTTAATATAAAAAATGTTCTGCGGGGTGTCCTGAACCTTTAAAAGTCTCTAAATGGATTCATCAACTTTTAATAATTTAAGACCCCGTGTTTTAATATTAACAGGACTGAAATGAAGAAAATGTGACACTTACTGTTCTTGTTATTATAAACAGCATCAGCAATACTGTCCTCCAGCTCATCAGGCTGAATTTCCTCTCGATCTCGACCCGCCCGACGACTCTCTAATGCAATTCTGTTCACTATCTCCTCACCTGCAGAACTGAAGGAAAAAATAAACAGATATGGAAATCCATTCAAGTTCTTTGCTATGAAAAGTAATGTCTTCCTGAGGAATGGAGGTCGGTCTATCGCAATGAGCATATCAAATATCACTCCATTAATCAGTCATTGAGGCTTACCTGATGAATATATAAATGGCCTTGCGGTAGTTGGTCTGGAAGAGAATGTGATAGGGGCCTAAATGCGGTTCTAAAACGTCGATCACACCTGGAGGCATTTTCTCCATCTCATCAAAGATGAAGATTGAACGAGCGCAAGCGGTGAGGCTTTTCTCAACCCGTCGCTTTAGATCTGACTGTGCACAAAACAAGACAACAAATACATCAACATTACATAGATCAAACAGGTTCTACTGAGAGTATACAAATATTATTGCGTTCCTATAAATGGTTGCCAAGTTGGGCGAGTTTAATCTGTTTTTGCAGATTACGTTTTTTTTCACACAGGTAAAAAGTTAGTTTGCTTGTGTTAAAATATTATTCCCATTTTGCAATCTAGCAATGATAAAACCGTGCTAGACGGTGAGTTATGCAGGAAAGAGGCAATGGTAGGAATTTGCATAAAGCATTTCCCACACACCCACTGCTAGTTTCAGGATCATTTCTTTAAGCTTGATGCCTAAAATAAATGCTACTTATAATGAATCCCACCATGTAATACTTGTAATATTCTTTCTTTTTTCTAATCTGAATCTTTTGTTTATTTAGAAGTATTTCTGGTGGAGGGGAACTAAAATACAGGTTTATGAGGTTTGTTTAAAAAATAAAAAATAAAATAATAATAATAATAATATATATATATATATGGTAGTCTATTATTTACAACATCGATACAATATTTTCAACATACCAGGAAAAAGAAAATTTGTTGTAAATGAATAATTAATATATAACTACACACACCAAATAAATGAATACATTATATCAAAAAAGTAAAATAATATTAACTGCCATCATGCCAAAGACATGGAAAATCATATACAGTTGAAGTCAGAATTTCCCAAATGATGTTTAACAGAGCAAGGAAATTTTCACAGTATGTCTGATAATATTTTTTCTTCTGGAGAAAGTCTTATTTATTTTATTTCTACTAAGATAAAAGCTTTTTTTTTATTTTAAAAATCTACTTTAAGGTCAAAATTATTAACCCCTTTAAGCTATATTTTCTTTTGATAGTCTACAGAACAAACCATCGATGTACAATAGCTTGCCTGATTACCCTAATCTGCCTAGTTAACCTAATTAACCTAGTTAAGACTTTAAATGACCCTTTAAGCTGACTACTAGTGTCTTAAAAAATATCTAGCAAAATATTATGTACTATCATCATTGCAAAGATAAAATAAATCAGTTATTAGAAATGAGTTATTAAAACTATTATGTTAGGAAATGTGTTGAAAAAATAATCTTAAATAATCTCTGTTAAACAGAAATTTGGGGAGCTAATAATTCTGACTTCAATTGTATATAAGAAATCTATTAAAGCTAAAATGTATTAAAATGTGTTTTAAAAAGTCTCTCTGTTAAACAGCACTTGGGATAACATGTTAAAATGTTTTCCTCAAATGTTTCCTATAAATTTATTATTGTTTTCCAGTCAAAAAATTGACTGTAAAATATGTATTTTATTTTCCAGTACTAGATTGGGGCTAGAAGGGTATCCGCTGTGTAAAACCTTTGCTGGAAAAGTTTGCGGTTCATTCAGCTGTGGCGACCCCTGATAAATAAGGGACTAAGCTGAATAAAAATGAATGAATGAACGTATTTTTATTATGGCATATTTAGAGTTTGATAAGTTCTGCTTTAAAATAGGGTGACTGAGCTATATTTGTTGCACAAACCTGGCAACCCTGTTTTACGTCAGTAAATCCACACACACCCTGTACTGTAGCACCCTGTCGGCTGAAGGAAAGTGTAATGTGGGAATAAACTGATGGATGTATGGACTCCCCATAGCCGTTCCATAGATGTGTCGTCCAATCATTGAGCTGACTAGACTTTTGCCAGTCCCGGATGATCCATGGAAAGACAGCACTAGTGGTCTGTCTGGGTTTTCATTTTGTAAAAAGTTCACCACCGCTTCTGAGACAATGTCCTGAGCCATATGCTGTCCATAAAGATTTTTATAAAGATCCCACTCTAAACCTGTAAAAACAGACACAGTTGGGCTGATTAAATGGGTTATTTAGTATAAAAACTGTTACTCACAATTGACATATTTGGTATATGATACATTTACTGAATGATTATATTACACATTAGTTTATCAATCCCTTAAAACCTATGCTTGAGATTACCGTGTACACACTTAGGACTTTTTCCTGTGGTGGTGGATAAATTTAATATTAAGAATAAAAAAAATAATGTAAAACACAGAAGCATTGTTTTACTTCATAAACCTCCATGCATCAACAAGAATCACAATTAATTGGCTTTTGTCAATATACACTCACTGGCCACTTTATTAGGTACACCTCACTAGTCTTGTGTTAGTCCATATTTTGGTCCAAATTGACATGATAGCATCATGCAGTTGCTGCAGATTTTTCGGCTGCACATCCATGATGTGAATCTTCCATTCCACCACATCCCAAAGGTGCTCTATTGGATTGAGTTCTGTTGGCTGCGGAGGCCATTTGAGTACAGTGAACTGATTGTCATGTTCAAGAAACCAGTCTGAGATGATTTGCACTTTATGACATGGCACGTTATCCTGCTGAAAGTAGCCATCAGAAGATGGTTACACTGTGGTCATAAAGGGATTGACATGGTCAGCAACAATACTCAGGTAGGCTGTAGCGTTGACACAATGCTCAATTGGTACTAATGGGCCCAAAGTGTGCCAAGAAAATATCCTGCACACCCTTACACGACCACCACCAACCTTAACCATTGATACAAGGCAGGATGGATCCATGCTTACATGTTGTTGAAGTCAAATTCTGACCCGACTATCCCAATGTTGCAGCAGAAATCGAGACTCATCAGACCAGGCAACGTTTTTCCAATCTTCTATTGTCCAGTTTTGGTGAGCCTGTGCAAATCGTAGCCTCAGTTTCCTGTTCTTAGCCGACAGCAGCGGCACCCGGTGTGGTCTTCTGCTGCAGTAGCCCATCCGCCTCAAGGTTGGACGTGTTGTCTGTTCAGAGATGCTCTCCTGCATACCTCGGTTGTAGCGAGTGGTTATTTGAGTTACTGTTGCCTTTCTATCAGCTCAAACCAGTCTGGCCATTCTCCTATGGCATCAACAAGGCCTTTGAGCCCACAGAACTGCCTTCTCTGTAAACCCTAGAGATGGTTGCTCATGAAAATTCCAGTAGATCAGCAGTTTCCAAAATACTCAGACCAGCCCATCTGGCACTAACAACCATGCCACATTCAAAGCCAATTAAATCACCTTTCTTCCCCATTCTGCTGCTCGGTTTAAACTGCAGCAGATCGTCTTGACCATGTCTACATGCCTAAATGCATTGAGTTGCTGCCATGTGATTGGCTGATTAGAAATTTGCATTAACAAGCAGTTGGACAGCTGTACCTAATAAAGTGGCCAGTCAGTCTATATGTTTTATATATTACTCTGGTAAGTGCTGATAGTTGTTGACTTGCATTTTATGAATTACCAAGGACCACCATTTCAGCTAAAATCGATATTCAACTAAAGAAGAAAAAAAAAGGACAATTTATTTTACTCAGCAAATTAAGAGCAGATGTATGTGTGTGTGTGTGTGTGAGTTGGCTTACCAAATAAGTAAATAAGATATTATTAATAAAAATATATATGACAAAGCACTTATATGTCTGCCAACTGTCCTGTGTAATAAAATAAGCATAAATGTAAAATTAATAAATGAGGTTTAATACATTTCACTAACCTCAATTAAGCAAATCTATAATAAGATGAAAATCATTTGTTTATTTTGTTTGATGAACTCTCATACAGCATTTCCTTTTAGTATGCATACCCAAGCAACAAAGAGAATTTGTTTGTTGTTTATTATTGCAAACATTTCATATTATCAGCATCAGATTACGGTTTGGACATTTTGCCATGGTGAAGTACAGTTACGTTACTATTTATCAGAATGTCAAAACAATGCCTAATTGCTATTTAATTTCACAGAAAACATTTGATATAGCGTGCTATCCTCTATACATTTATTATATAGTCGCTTCTAGTATGACATATACAGCCACTTAGGGTTGCTCACACAAAATTGATTCAAGTTTGAATGTATAGTCATAGACCATTTAAAGAGACCATGTCACTGTAAACCAGGGGTGTCCAAACTCGGTCCTGGAGGGCCGGTGTACTGCATATTTAGTTCCAACCCCAATTAAACACACCCGAACCAGCTAATCAAGCTCTTTCTAGGTATACTAGAAACGTCCAGGCAGGTGTGTTAAAGGAAGTTGGAGCTAAACTGTGCAGGACAGCGGCCCTCCAGGACCGAGTTTGGACACCCCTGCTGTAAACTATGTAATGTTAGCATCTCGGTTGTCTACAATGTGGTCAGCTGTTTAATAAAATATGTAAAAATGATAAATGAGGTTTAATACATCTCACTAGCCTCAATTAAGTAAAATTATAAGAAGACTAAAAAAATATATATATTTAGTTTGATGCACTTTCTCTGCCGTCACATCAGATTTCAGTGACTTTTACACACGTTAATGATTATTATGCTTACATCCAAAGGCATTCTTTCCTTTTAGTATGTATATTTAAGAGCAACAAGGAAAGTTGTGTTGTTAATTATAGTAAAATTGCATATTATCAGTAACAAATTCGTTTCTGGAGATCATGGTCCTGTGTGTTGTCCCAGATGATCAACTGCCATGGCAAAGTACAGGTACTGTACTATTTATCTGAGTGTCAAACAAAACTAATTCTAATTTCATTTAATAATACGTTATAACATTTGCTATAGTGTGTTAAAATGTCAGTTATCCTCTATGCATTCATTTTAGAGTGACTTCTAATGTCATGTTCAGCTAAAATGGAAAGTATATGTAACTCTTTATATATTATGACAATACAGCCACTTAAGTTTGCTCACATAAAATTGATTAAAGTTTAAATGCATAGTCAAAGACCATATAAATTAGCCAAAGTCACTGTGAACTATGCAACGTTAGCATCTCGGTTGTTTACAATGTGGTGAGCTATCACTAACAATCAAACATAACGTTAAAGGTAAACCAGGCCAATGTAATGAAAAGAAACGGAGTGCTGTTTGATATTTTTTTCCTTCAAAGAAATCCCACAGCTTCTTCTGTTGGAGCTGGCAACCCAACAGAACACATCACAAGCTAATGCTAGCAGTCTGTGCGCTGGAGACAGCTGTTAAAATCCCCCAGTTTACCTTACCTTTTATGTCTGGTTTGTAGTCACAGTCGCAGCTGTCAGATATTGAACAAAATATAGATTTCATCTCAAACCCGCTACCTAAAGACGTACAATAAATTAAAAGTAGTGTAAATATCATTGTGGCTCCCACTGGAGCACAGCTCCGAGATCAGTTGAATGAGAAAGCGCGACAACAGCGCCGCCACAGGAACTAGAAGGCCACAAACTGATTCACACATGTTCAAGAGTCGATTCTTTCGAGCAGTTCATTTCCAACAATTCTGATTCCATTACGTGATAAGATAATTTAGTCGCCGAACTAAATTAAAGATTAAATATTAGATGTAATATTATTTAGTATTTAAAAAAAATGTATTTCTTTGTTTCAGAATTAAGAAATGTAATAAAAAACACAGAGAACGAGTTTTACTTCGAGCAACATATGCACAAATGTCAATTCACACGAGAAACTTTTTACCTGTATTTTAATATTATTAACATTTAAATATATTTATATTTTTACTGTTTAAATACCACATTTAAAGTTATTGTCAAAATTTCATTTAATATTTTACACCTCTTTATCATTTCATTTCCTTACTTAATATTCTGTTATTTTTAGGCCTATAATTCAAGTTCATAGCTTTATTTAGGTTTTTGAGTTTTATTTCCCCTGTTGTCTTTGTTGTATTTACTGTATACTAATGGAGGCCCATTTATCAATAGGCTAGTCGTTGATTCATTATTAAAACGAAAACAATTAATCGGAACCCACATAACAAAATTTCTCTGGCCCAGCTCTGGCCCACACAATCAGGTTTTGCTTGGCCCAAATGCCGCAGTGAATTACGGTACATGACTGGACCAAATCTGGCTTCCAGACAAGGGCCAAACACAGACCATATCTGGGCCAAGTCTCAGCCAAGTTAATAACTCATAACTGGGCCTGAACTGGGCCAGATAGGTTGGTGTGTCACGATTGCAATAAAATTGATAAACCCATGGAGTGATGCGCTTTAGGCACACTATGGGCACACTTTTTCTCAAAGTGACCTGATTGGTAGAATTTTTTTTCTTTACTCAAAAATGATTTTAGTGTATTTTAAATGTGGGTCAAGACTGGCCAAACTCACATGGCCCACTTATCAAATTTTTAAATCTGGGTCAAATACTACGTTTTACATCTGGCCCAAATCTTGTGTGCCGCCTTAAAAACGGTGCCACCTCTGCTAAACCCTGGCCATGTTTGGCCCACATGCTGTATGCCAGTGCCGGATGAATGCCTGCTGTGCCAGCTTTATGCCAAATCTGGGCCAGAATTCTTTGCTACTAGGGAAATGTTTGAGCGAGATGGTTCTCTGTACAGTAACTCGCTTAAAGCGATTAAGTTAGTAAAAGAACAACATAATAAGCTTTTTGAACAGTTCCTATACAAGTGGATCCCAGTAATAAGTAGGCTATAGGCTAATATTGCTAATCAACAGGCCCGTAGCCAGCCTGGTGAAAGAGGTGTTTTTTTTATCACAAAGAGATTAAAAGCAGTTATTTGTCTTCTTTTCTAATTATGAGGTTTAAAATTTGCATTTTAGTGAAATTTTAGACACTATTTGTAGCTGGATTAGCTTGTTGGGTGGTCATCGGCCTAACCGCTTATTATGTAGCCTAACAAAATATTTCCTACAATTTAGAAATCTCCAAGATTTAAAATAAAAGTTACCTGTAAAATATTTTCTCTATTTAAAAAACAATACAGCAGCCAAAGATGACTTCTCTTAGCTGTCAGATTATGTTTTCTTGCACAGTTGGATGTTGGACTCTTGAAAAATAATAGCTTTTGCATTAGATGTGCTGTTAAGCCAACAGAGGATTCCACTTGATTTTAAAGCATTTTTCGATGAGTTCTTTTCACAATTTATGATGGCATAGCAGTGAAACTAAGACCAATGAGCTCATGTATGGGACAACCCTGCTGAAAAATCCAACTAAAACCAGCCTAGGATGGTTGGCTGGTTTTAGCTGGTCAACCAGCCTGGTTTTAGAGGGGTTTTGGCTATTTCCAGCCTGTTTTTAGCTGGTCAGGCTGGAAAATGACCAGCTAAAACCGACATGACCAGCCTGGTTTAAGCTGGACATAGCTGGTTTTGGCTGGGCTCCCAGCCTGGTGAGGCTAGTCAAGCTGGTTTTAGCTGTTCCTCTCCCAGCCTGACCAGCTAAGACCAGGCTGGAAATGGCTGGAAACCAGCCTGGAAATGGCCAAAACCCCTTTAAAACCAGGCTGGTCAACCAGCTAAAACCAGCCAACCTAGGCTGGTTTAAGCTGGATTTTTCAGCAGGGTAAATTCTGGACCTTTGTCATTGAAAGGCGGGTCTTTCGAACCACCCGAATCCCCCTGGCTACAGATCTGCATGAGACATGACTGAAATGATGATGATGAATATACTATTTTTAATTAGCTAAACAAGCACATAAGAGATTCACTTAGCCTAAGATTCACTGGTGCCTATGATGTGGCTACTGGTATCAAAGTACATTCACTGCTGTTTCAAAACAGTAAAAGGCAGTAAATCAGATAAACAAATATTTCACTTGGACACACACCACAATATACCAACCAACCAAATCTGCATTTTTATTATTACTTTAAGTGATGTATAAGTATAGAATATTAGCATTAAATGCATTAAAAAAGTGTTCCTCCGAGTAAATATTACCCATTATTTGACTATTGATTATATGAACCAATAGCAGTGCAATTAAATAGTTAAAAACTTACAATATTAGCATGTTTAACAGTTTCAGAAAATATAACTATGAGTATGAATTTTATGTACACTGTATAAAATCATGTAGCTATACAAACGGGCAAATAATCAGAAAAAAGTCAAATAAGTTAAAATTGAAATACACAAGGTGCTCATTTTACATACAACAGCAGAAATATGTCCAATGGAAAAATAACAGTACAGAAATTCATAACACAGTATATTAACAAATAAAAGTGAATAGAGTTCATCCCTTCATTTTGCAGAGTGTGAAAGCTCGAGTCTGTTAGACAGAGCTGTCAGCACTTCATCAAACTTGGAGTAACGCTCATCTTTGTTTCTTTCCACTCCACGGCTTCCCCACAGGAGACGCATCTGGAACTCTGTCAGGAAGATCTCCCGCACATCTGCTTCCTCCTCAAATCCTGCAAAATCAGAAAAAGATGACCTAAAACACAACTTTTAAAGAGCCCATATTATGGGTTTTTGAAAATTCCCCTCCATGTAGTGTGTAACACAGCTCTAAGTGAAGTGAAGTATCCAGCTAAGGCTTAAATCTGTAAGAGTACAGTGTTTAAAACGGTTGATTCATCTTTAAAAGAGTCAACTCAAAGTGCTTCAATAGAGTCGCCTTGATACCAAGTCATTAGGTGTTTCGCCATGACGTACGAACGAAACCAAGGTTTTCACGTGCACGCGCAAACCCGGGAGATTTCAAACCTGAGGCCCCGCCCTCTGACGCAGAAACCCAGACACACACACACACCCACAAACATGCCGGTCGATTGAAGTCAAACTGCAGATGGATATTATCGAGGGTCTATCCAAAGATGAAACCTCAGCATTATAACCAAGCAGTTGGAAACTTCTGGAAACTACATGCTACAAAGAATACTTCATCTGCGTTTGTTAAAGGAAGGATCAGTAAAGAGTAAGTAAACTTACTGATGGACATCAGGATAGGTTTCTTCCTCCATTTCTCAAGTGTAAGTACGTGCCATTAAAGTTGTTGCCTCGTTGACTCTAGCTTGCAAATGTATTTAACTGTGATTTGTTACTTGTAACCGAGTGTACTGTATCAGGTTAACTGGCTATATTCTCTTATCGCGTGCAAAGCCACGTTAAAAACGCGACGCGTGCTGCTTTGTTTACGGAGCTCCGTGGTAAAGAAATGTGCTCCCGCGATTTATTCAGAAATTTATTCCCGCGCCGCAGATATAAATTTCTGAATAAATCGCGGGAGCGGTCGGTAACGGGTTTAATTTGGGACGGGAGCGGGCTGTCTAGCAATATCACGGATATTGCTATGCCAATGAGAAAGAGAGAGAGCTTGGTGCTTGTGTGTGTGTGTCAGTGCGCACGCGCGCGTATAAGAGAGAGAGAGAGAGAGAGAGAGAGAGAGAGAGAGAGAGAGAGAGAGAGAGAGAGAGAGAGAGAGTGAGAGAGAGAGAGAGAGCGTGAGAGAGAGTGAGAGAGAGTGAGAGAGAGTGAGAGAGAGTGAGAGAGAGAGAGAGAGAGAGAGAGGTTTAAAACAGCTTTATTATATACAGTTTTTCTTTTTCTTTTTAACAAAACATTCTCAATCCATTAAATGTTCATTCACATCATATTCCATTCATCTTTGAGTCGATTAAAAAACCAAAATTAAAGAAAAAAATGAAACCCAACTACCTTATTATTGTTTTTATAAATTAAGTACAAGCTGTTCTTCATAAACACTACATAAAATGCTTCCTAGACACCACTTTTCTTCAAATGTTATTAGATCTCTTACCAATTCATAGAAAGTAAATTCAATTTTCAATCTATTTGAAATTAAACCTTTTAACATAATCACTGGATCTATTCCACCAGCACCTGATATTTTGTTTTTTCTAGTTTTCCAAATAGACAATTTTGCTGTGCCAATAACATAATTTAAAAGAGTGAAAAGGATCTTTTTAGACATTCTATATTTTACTCCCCCTATAAAAATACATTCAGAAAAGGTCTCACCAAAACCTCTAAACCACTCTTTTAAAACATTAAAAAGGTCTTCCAATCGTGTACAACTTAAAAACAAATGTTCTACATTCTCTTCCTTACCACAAAAAGCACACTCCCTCCTAACTATTGGATTAAGATGAGACACATGACTGTTGGTAGCTATCGCCCCATGAACAAGTCTCCACTGCAAGTCCCCGATTCTTTTCTCAAGAGGAGATTTATATAGGGACCTCCACTGATCTCTTAAGGGGAAATTAGGTCCAAACTTTTTAGTCCATTTCAATAATTGTCCTTTTAGTATATCATTGTGAACATTCTTAACGCATAAGATGTATAAAACCTCTTTAGACATTCCGTCAACCGTCCATGTTTTAGAAATTCCAGTCTCTTCCTCGAACCCACCAAATTCACAACTTGAAGATACCACCAGAGGGAG